AAAAAATAAAAATTAAACCGGCAAATATCTTTTTCAAACTATTGGCTTTATATACTATAATTTTTGTATAATATCAAAAGTATATTTATTTATTATTATAATCTTTCAAAAATTAATATTCAATTATTTAAGATCTACACACTAATAATCAATTTCAGTAAAAATGAATATACAACATTATATATTAACAAAAATTTACACTCGAAAGCTATATTTATTGTAATAAATTGGTATTAAATTTATTGTATAGTTTTTTTTCTATTATATAAACAGTGTACATAGTATTCACATCAGTTTACACAAGTATATCAACTAGTTAACTCGATCTTATACAATAGTTAAATATACGTTTATATAAGTAAGAATATTTATGAGTATATTAATATACATATATACGTACTTATATCATTATACTACTTTGTGTCTTTAACTTAAAATGATACAATTTTAAATCTTTTTAAAAGGATAAAACAAATTGCCACTGTATATTATATATATCAACACTGAAAGGTCTTCACCAACCGTGTCAATTGAACGTTAAAAGCTTCATAGTTGATAGTGAAACTTACATTCGTAACTATAGGGTTTAGATACAATTTACTTATACTATCTATGATTTTTGTATACTAACATGTAATGGCCGTGAATCAGTCATTCACTCGTTCAATCGCTCGGTTTCCCCCACTGGCAGCTTTGAAACGCGTCTAGCACTCATTGCGTCACACAATTAAACTGAACGAAAAAGAGCCAAAATCAGAAACATACATGTTAAGGTTAGGGTTAGGGTTAGGGTTACATTTAGGATCAGGGTCAAGTTCAGGGTTAGGGTGAGGGTTACGGTCAGAGTCAGGGTTAGGGTTAGGGTATGACATACAAATTGATAAAATTATTCGGTCATGATCAAATTATTCCGGGCAATCTTCATGTTTATCAACATCGAAGCTAAAGTTCTGTGACTGTGGAGAAGCGGCTGTGTTGCGTATGTCTCGAAGACCAAAGAATCCACGAAGGATGTTCTATGGATGCCCTAACTACAAAACAAGTGACACCTATTAGATTATCAGTTTTTTTCTCCTTCGCCAAACAGATTATCAATTTTAAATTCAATGTATTTCTATTATTGTCAATTTTTCCTTCTCTCCAATCTCACATTCTCTCTTTTAAATCCATAGAAACGGAAAATCTACAACTGAATAACGTTGATCGTAAGACTCTAAATGGTATTAATTTTCATTTAATGAATACAAAGAACCAGGAAGTTATTCAAAATATCAAGAATCTCAAAATTCATACATCCGCCTCTGTTTACTGAAACCGCCTACATAAACCGCCTCCGAACATCATTTTTGGGCGGTTAAATAATAACCGCCTTTGTTTAACAAGAAATCGACGACTATTTCCCAGATCCGACGTCTAAACCGCCTGCGTTTGCTCAAATTTTAGGGCGGTCAAACCCAAACGCCAGACATTCCGCCTCCAAATATATTCAAACAAAGGCGGTTACGATATAAAGCCACGAATTCTGACGGTGTGTGATACCAAAAGTCGTCGGCCTTGTTAACTGCCTGGTTACCCGCCTGAATTGTATCTTCTGAGGCGGTTTAGTGGTAACCGCCTAAAATAATCCGACGGCAAAAGCCACTTTTCTTGTAGTGTTATGTCCTTTTTAGTGTGTTCATATTATATTAATATGAAAAATTATTATTTTTTACTAGACACATCAATTGATATAATTGAAGAGGAAAAAAGGTAATGTAAATATACTAAAAAGACACAAGTTGTATCACACAACTTTTTTCATTTTATTACATGATTTCCGTCTCATCAACCTGAAAAGATTGAACCAATTTTTAATCACAAAGCCTACCAACCGAACAAGGAATAAACCGAGGTTGTTGTTTGTTTTCAGCTATATATTTCAACGGTGTTATTATACAGTATTTTTTTTCCCCTGTAAACAAATGAGGCAAAATAAATTATTGTTTAAAAAAGTTATGATGTTAGACGATAATGACACTCTTGTATATTAACTAAAGCCTCCTCCTCATGCCAGGGCTTGGATCAATTACATTATTAAATTCTGAAAGTGATCATTATCATATTTTTATAACAACTACATTTTTATGGCATTTTCATCACCAAGTCATTTGAGAATTGGGAATTATATGAAACCACAAAAACAAGATATTTTTAAGGCATATCCACTTTTTTTGTGAAATATCAACCCATCGTCTTATTGTTTTGTTTACACGATATTAACACTAAAAACGGTAAGTCAATTGTCTATTTAACTACATTTAGTGTACTAAGCTTACACAACCGTTAAAAAGATTTGGTAATAAAAAAGTTAAACACATGATAAGAATATAATTTTTTTTTCAAGTGTCCTAGCAGGTGAGACATCGAAAGGCAAAAATTATCTATTTTAAAGGTATTTTTTTCCCATATCCTAATTCTTTTGTGACTTAAAATTAGGTAAATTAAAATTGCATATAAAGACTGCCTTCACCCTATCGTAGTTAGATGAGATTTAATTGGAATTTTTTATTTATTTATGAATCTCAATATTAAATTCAAAATTAAGAGTATGTATGGATCGAATCGAATCGATTTTAATGGTTTGATTTTTAAAACTCAACCAATTTTATTTTTTCAAAATCGGTTTAATTTTTTTTGAACTAGTTTATGGTTCAAAATCGATTTTAAATGAAAATCAATTCAAAATCAGTTTCAAACCAAATTTAAATGAAAATCAATTTTAAATCAAAATCACATATATATGGATAACTTTTAGCTTATTACGGCTTATGAGCTTATGATTATTATCATTACTGCCTATTTTTAAGGTAAATACGAAGAATTCATATTTGATTTATGGATTTTTTAAGTTTTGAAATATGAGTTAATAATAATAATAATAATAATAATAATAATAATAATAACCACGGTTAAAAAAAGCAATAACAGTGAAAAAGCGTCCATAATTACACAAGTCAACTCAAGAGAATAAGGTGTTTAATCTAATTAGGCATTCCATTTCATTATTCACTCATCCACATCCACATCGATATAAAAAAGAGAGAGAGAAATGTAGCAAAGGCTTTACCATTTTCATTTGGTATATTAGTCTCTTTTGTCAAATCCTTTGGGAGCACAAATTATTGATCAGTTTAATTAGGATATCCAAACTGTTTTAATAAAATCAAAACTGATCCATATTCAAAATATAAAATCTTGTTTGGTTTTAAGAATTGCTTTAATAAATCGGTTTTTATGGAGCAATTTGGTTTGAATTTCGAAATGGTTCGGTTATTTTGGATTTTTTTGCATATCCCTGCTGATCAAAACCACATATTATAATTAAATCCCTTCTATTCAAACCATTACATATTTGGTAATATACATGTTCTTATCCCAACACATACTTGTGTTGATTTGAGCATAAGGACTTGGTTGTCTTAAGTAAATGATCTCGAGTTTGATTTCAAGGTTTATACTTACGAAAAATGTATTGTTAAAAAAAAATCTCTTTTACTTTTTTACGACCCAAAAAAATTACTTCTAAGAAAATATGTTTTGGTTAAACCGCTATATTTTAATTTTTACAGTTAAAAATATAACTAACTAATTAATTAGTTTTAATGGGAATAAATAAATTAGAAGGATGGATTAGTCAAGTAAATTAACACGCCATACACAACTTGACAATAATCCCCATAAAAGTAACTTATAAAACAATCACATATACAAATAAAAATTATTTTAATTGGAAGAACATCATTTCAGACATGGATATCTTTTCATAGCTTATCAATGAGACTAAAAAATTACATGTTAACTCTAAATGTAAACAACATTTCAACCTAAAATTTTAAGTTACTGGATGAAGATCTTTTTAATAGTTTATATTATGCCTAACACACTCCCTCATACAAAAATTCATTGGACTTGAAGTGTGGATATTATATAGACTCAATATTTTTTGTTTTACCTTGAATTTATTTTAATTCCACTCAAAAATGGAAGCGTGACCTTGTGGTTACCAAAACTTTGATACTATATAAAGAATCATTTCAACTCAAAACTTGGATGGAGGTCTTTTTAATAATTTATATTATGCTCTAACATTAAATAGCACTTTTTACTTTTTTATATTAATCCAATTTAAATATTGTCGAATTTATATTGGTATAATTATCTCCGCATCATTTTTTCCACTCCGATAACTCAATTTTGAGATGCATGCACTATTTTTTATCTTAAATTAAATAAATTAGCAAGTGGTATATTGTATCTAAGAATGTATCAAATTGGATTTGATTTTTATTTTGATTTCATCACGACATCCCAACATTTTGACATTATATACCACCAGCATAAGCTGCCAAGATTCGCGGGTAGCCGGGAGGGGGCCATCACAAGAAAGAGGGTTTTTGAATTCAACCAAATTATAATTATAATTTGTTTTTTTGTGTTGTGTTGTGTTTATTTTTTATTTTAATTTTTTAATGTGAATAGAAAATGAAAGGGGTGTTGACTTTATCAAAATGGGGGAACATGAACATGGCCACGAAACCCCTAAGTATACGGTTCTTGTACTTGTATCCTACGTCACTTACAAGTTGCAAATGAATGGCACCCTCCCATTCCCCCTACCTTGTTCATTCTCATCCGTACGTCCTCTCGTTCCTTCCTTGGTCCATATAAACCAACCAACGCTTCTTTCTTTTCTCTTCAACCTCTCACCCCTCATCCCTTAATTTCCCATTCACAAGTCACACCACCCTTCATCATCAATATCTCTTTCTCTCTTGGTCCCTCTTTTGATCAAGTACTGTTGAATTTTGTTTGTTTACAAAACCTCTCGCGCGGTAGTTATATATATGTATGTAAAAGGAAAAAAAGAAAAAAGAAAAAAAGTAAAAGAACAAGAAAAGGGAATAGCTGTATTATATATATATATATATATATTTATATAGTGGTGTACGTGTTTTGGAAAGATGTTGTACGAACAGCAACAGTTTGAGCAGCCGAAGATGAAGATGGATATGAGGAAGAAGACGGAGAGGAGCAAAAGCATAGAGGAAGAGAGGCTTGAAATAGTTGACTTGAGTGGCATGTCCTTGGAGTCCCTTCCCAACCCATCTCTTAATTTAGCTACCATTTGCAAGTTGGACCTCTCTAATAACAATCTTCAGGTAACTATATACACACAATATATATCTTTTTTATATGTTAGAACTTAAAATATCTGTGGTTTTTTGTTCATTTCTTCCAATTTTTATGGAGTACGTAATGGAGACTCAAACAGATTATACACGGGGTTGTAATGTTATAATTAAAATTACCTTCCTGCCAAATGCATGCAATCCACCCAAAAAGTAAAGTAATCATTTTCTGCTGAGTTTAGTTAATATACTGTATGTATAAATTACTAACCAACAGATATAGCACAATCGAGAAATCTAACAAACCCACGATGAAAAGGTCAAAACCAACCTGGGTTTTCCTTTTGCACTTATATTTTTTTTTTTTTGTAAATATTTGCACTTATATTTTCGTTTTTACACAAACATATAGATAAAAGGGCAAGCTACTTATCAGATGTTACTATCAATTAATGTTTAGTATAATATTAACATCATTTTTTTTTACAGTTTTTTTCGTAATCATATTAGTATATATTTTGTATATATATGCACGTCTCTCCTGCTTGATAGACTGCTACTTGAACGCATACGTGTCGTGAATATTAATATATATGTCAAACAAAACAAAAGATAAGAACAAGTTGTACCAAGTAAAGGGATATATTACCCAATGGGTGCAGCTCAGTTGGTAATTTGGCGCTGAGTTAGTGGGGTTGGATATGTGTTCCCGTTGAATGCATTCTTGGGGAGGGGGCTGAACCTTTAGCCATCGTTCCCCGCACTCCGGATTAGTCTCATAGCCGGCTCAAAGAGTCGAAGCTCGTGGGGATACCGGAGAGAACCAACTCGTCTCAAAGAGATAATTAGGGTTGGGTAACTCAAAAAAAAAAAAAAATAAAGGGATATATTTTCGGGGTTGGAATATTAATTATAAAATATGGATGCACTAGCTTAGTTAGCTAGCAACAGTCAAATATTGTGTCTTATGTAATGGCCGCTTCCGTCTTCCCCGACCGTTTCATAGCTTTGCACTATTGATTAAACTTCTTCTACATATATATCCGATCCATAATAAATAAATAAATAAATAAATAAAAGACGAAGCAAAATCAAATTCGGGTAGTAACTCCATACCTTTGCATGAATCTGAAGAGGCAGTCTTTAAGTTGTTGTTTAATTCCTTCACGGATATTGTTCACACAAGTATATATGGCCTTTAAGAAATATATAGAAATTATTACAAAAAATATATATATATATATAATTATTTTGTAACATTTGATTGAATATTTTGACAGAATATTCCAGAGTCCTTAACGGCGAGACTGCTGAATGTGGTGGTGTTGGACGTGCACTCCAACCAGCTTAGGTCACTCCCGAATTCCATTGGTTGCCTCTCTAAGCTAAAGGTTTTGAATGTCTCTGGCAACCTCATCGAATACCTTCCCAAAACAATTCAGAATTGCAGGTTCACCTTTTTTTTTATACTTCTCTTTCTACTTTTACTGATAAGTCTATGTTTAAAATATTTAATTACATTGATTGGTTGAACCAAAACATAAATTTATTATATCTGTTTTTAATGTGAATATTAACTCATTCGATTATATTTTAATTACGTTAATCACTAATTTTATTATTTAAACCAATTGAATTAGGACTTGGTGGTCTTTTTAAATCAATTATTTAAATCAATTTGCCACAAAATACAAATCTCCTTTATTTAAAGCAGCTTATATTAGTTAAACAACACAAAGTGAACGAAACAATCATAAACACTTGAATAAGTTGCAATTCCCCCTCATGATACGTGGACCTTTAATTTGTGTTTTTCTCGTGCCTCTTTATCTATTTTTCTCTTCAAACTAGGGCATCTACATACGCGTATAAATCATCAAATCCTATATCATGATTAGATTAGAAAACTTGCAGGTAATTTGTGATAAGGAATGATCTTAAATATATACCTAGCTAGCCTATATTAATATTACAAAGTAAGCTGTTTTACTTAAATCATTGAATTAATTTTTGTGGTGCAATGAACTAGCTAGCCTATTCAAGTAATTAATTTTCATGAATTATAAATGCTTAGTGAATTTAGTCTCAATATATATGTAATTATGGTTAGTTTGTTGCTCTCTACTGATTTAAAAACTGAATTTATTAGTCTCTTTGTAAACATAATTTGGTTGCTAAATTATATTTGCTATAAAGATCGGTGAATTAGGTTGTTAAATTATTACAAGACCAATCCGTTATTTATTAGATTAATTTACCTATAAAAAATTAAAAAGAAAAAACCTTTTATTGTTAGAGAAATATAATAAGAAAAATAATACTCACAAAGCATTTTTTACACCATTTTCATATAACTTTAAAATTGACAATATGTATATATAGTTAATGAAGAAAGTAATTATTATGTATAGTAATATTATATTAAATTCGTCGTTAACTATGTAATATACTTTGTTAACTAAAAAATTATAGTTAATTAACCAATATAAAATGTTTTAAAGAAAAAGCGTACATATAACCCTTTGAAAGATTCTTTGCTTCCGAATGAAGAAAAGTTGTTCCACCATCAAGCTATATATCATTAAATGTTATAGAATTTTATTGATAAATGGGTCCCATGATAAGTGTTTGTATGTTTCATGGAGGACGACCTACATGTGCCGATTAGAATTTTTCTAAGCATTGTGGGCTGCTGTCGGTCACAAACACAAGGCAATATTAATTAATTTGGAAAAATCCTCCATTTTCTTTGGGTGTCATTATTGTGTTACATTTGACTTGTATATAAAACAGAAGGTGGGGGACACTGTGTAAAACAAATTATTAAAAAAAGAAAGGAAAAAAGAAAAGACAACTAGTAATGATATGTAGTTTAGTGTAAAATGTAGTCACAAGACACCCCAATCCCCAACAAGAATAAATAGATGATAGATATATATACACTGAAGTAACAATACAATAATCATAATTCTAAAATTAATTGTACACTTTATTTTTACATAATAAAATCATCATTGTAATTTTTCTTCAGGCCAGCATGCATTGAGTTACTAGTTATTGATTAGATAATGTGGTAATTCATTTAAAATTAACTTGCATGTTTGTTATATGAACTTTGACCCACCAGAGCTTTAGAAGAACTGAATGCAAATTTCAACAAGTTGAGTCAGTTGCCAGAAACAATAGGGTTTGAGCTCATAAACCTAAAGAAGCTAGCAGTGAACTCCAACAAGCTAGTGTTCCTTCCTCGTTCCACATCTCACCTCACATCTCTGAAGGTTCTAGATGCACGCTTGAACTGTCTCAGGTCTCTCCCAGAAGACCTTGAGAATCTCATCAACCTTGAAACCCTAAACGTGAGTCAAAACTTCCAGTACCTTGATTCTCTTCCTTATTCCATAGGACTCCTCTTGTCACTGGTTGAACTTGACGTTAGCTACAACAAGATCAAGTCCTTACCTGATTCCATTGGATGCCTCAAAAAGCTCCACAAGTTAAGTGTTGAAGGGAACCCCCTCATTTCACCACCTTCAGAAGTTGTAGAGCAAGGATTGCATGCGGTGAAGGAGTACCTGTGCCAGAAGATGAACGGGGCCAATCAGAGCCCAACAAAGAAGAAATCATGGATGGGAAAGTTGGTTAAGTATGGAACCTTCAATGGAGGTATGAGAAGTAGGGCCCGTGAACGTGAAGAACGTGAGGCTTTCATTGTGCCTGAGTATAATAGATCCATTGATGGTCTTGCTTCGCCACGTTACATGGGAATGTTTTCACCTCGTCGACTCTTCTCGCCCCGTAATTACTTCAGTAATTGAGGGTTAACATTAATTGTCTTTTTTTATAACCCTGTTTAATTAATTAATAATATTGCCCATTCAGTATGAGTGAGTAGTTTTGCTTGCAGTTTCAAAATTACAGCAATTTCCGGATGTTATAATATTATGAACGTGTGTCCTTACTTTACTGGTTAGGTTGTACTTATAATGGTAATGGTGTTGAGCTTCTGAAAGTTTGTAAGCCATAGACCTGGTTCTGATCTGTAAATAAACTTCACGCGTTGTGGTCAATGTGGTGCCCTAAATATATATGCTTGCTTTTGTGGAATGATAAACCAAACAATAATACATTTACAAACAATTTATGTCAAGGGAAAAAAAAAAGAAGCACAATATACTTAGTGATAAAATGAATTTTTTTGGAAAACCAAGGAAATGGATGGACAGATTATATATCTCTGGAAAACAGACTCTCTCTAGAGTAACACTGTTAAGTGATCATGCATGCATGTGAGGATACTCACTTTTATTGTTGTTTTGATGCCATTATAGAAAACAGAGTGGAAATATTAATTGTGTTATTAGATAAACTTAAATGTACGGTTTTTAGATTAATGGGTCTCTAGAAGTTTTATGTTTAGGAATTAATGTTGGTTAAGTGTTATGGGGGTTTGGTTTTGATATTTGTTAAATGGCTGTAAGTTTTCTACGGTTTATGTTTTATTGCGTTTAATAGCTTTTAATAGGTGCTTAAGTTATTTTTAGCAAGCTACCATATAAGGAGATGTAATCGTCATAGAAAGTACAGAGCAAGAAAAGAGAGTTTGATAATAAAGAAAAACTTTCGTAGATTATTCGTTTGGTTGTCTCTTGCATCTGTGTGTTGATACCTTAACAAATTGGTATCAGAGCTATGGAAAGGGGGAGTGATATGGCACTACCTAAGTTGACGAAGAAGAACTACGAGAATTGGTGCATCCAGATGAAGGCTCTTCTCGGATCCCAGGACGCTTGGGAGAATGTTCAAGCAGGTTTTGTAGAACCACAGGACACTGGAGGCTATTCGGCGGCTCAAACTAAAACGTTGAAAGAGACGCGTGCAAAGGACAAGCTGGCGTTATTCATGCTCTTCCGAGCTGTGGACGAATCCGGGTTCGAGAAGATAGCAAATTGTGAGACCTCAAAGGCAGCCTGGGACACCTTGGCAAATGTCTATAGAGGAGCTGACCGGGTTAAACAAGTCCGGCTTCAAACCCTTCGTGCCGAGTTGGAGGGAATAAAGATGAAGGACACGGAAGGAGTATCCGGGTTCGTTGCCCGGGTTCAGGGAGTTGTGAACCAGTTGAAACGGAATGGAGAAGTTATACCTGACACCAGAGTGGTGGAGAAAATCCTGAGATCTTTGACAGACCAGTTCGAAAACGTGGTTTGTGCGATAGAGGAGTCCAAGGATCTGTCTACACTCACTATTGATGAGTTGGCGGGTTCTCTTGAAGCGCATGAACAAAGAAAGAAGAAGAAGGAGGAGACTCTTGAACAAGCGCTTCAGACCAAAGCAACAATTAAAGATGAGAAGGTTCTCTATTCTCAAAACTTTCGAGGTAGAGGACGTGGCCGCGGTGGACGAGGTACTAGCCGTGGTGGTAGGGGCCGAGGCCGAAGTCAAGAAGGTTGTAATGATGAGGTAGGACAATCAAGTCAACAGAACTGGCGTGGAAGAGGACGGGGTCGTCGAGGAGGTCGGTCACATTATTCAAACATTGAATGCTACAAGTGTGGCAAGTATGGTCACTATTCAAAAGATTGTAACTCGGACAAATGTTACAATTGTGGCAAGGTTGGACATTTTGCAAGAGAATGCAGAGAAGAGAAAAGGGTGGAGGAGACATCTAACCTAGCCACAGAAGGCGAGATGAAGGATGGTGTCTTGTTAATGACACACAGTGAAGGAAGGTCAGACGATGACATGGAGTGGTATCTTGACACGGGTGCAAGCAACCACATGTGCGGACATAAGCACTTATTCAAGGAGATGAGAAAGGTGGAAACCGGACATGTTTCATTCGGGGATGCCTCGAAGGTTGAGGTAAAAGGCCGAGGTACGATCTGTTTTTTACAAAAGGACGGGTTAATTGGCTAAATTCGAGATGTGTACTATGTACCCGACCTAAAAAGCAATATTTTAAGCATGGGTCAATTGATGGAGAAAGGTTACTCGGTTATTTTGAAAGACCGGGTATTGTATTTGAAAGATGAGCGAGGTCGGGTGATAGTCCGAGTTCAAATGGGTAAGAATCGTATGTATAAACTGAATTTGAAATGTGTACAGGTTGAATGTTTACAAGCCGAGGTAGAAGATAAGGCGTCACTGTGGCATCTCCGGTTTGGTCACCTACATTATGGTGGTCTAACCGAGTTGGCAAAGAAGAAGATGGTGGACGGGTTACCTGACATAAACTTTGAAGGAAAATTTTGTGAGAGTTGTGTACTTGGCAAGCATGCCAGGACTACGTTTCAGAAGACGGCAAGGTTTCGGGCTAAGCAACCTCTGGAATTAATACATACTGACTTGTGTGGACCCATCAATCCGGGTTCTTTTAGCGGTAAGAAGTATTTTCTCTCTTTTATTGATGATTCTCACGGAAAACTTGGGTCTATTTTCTGAAGGAGAAGTCCGAGGTGTTTGATGTGTTCAAAAAGTTCAAGGTGATGATTGAGAAGGCAACAAGAAGCTATATCAAATCGGTGCGTTCTGACCGAGGTGGGGAATATACCTCGACAGAATTTCTGACATTTTGTGAGGAACAGGGGATAAGGAGGTTTCTAACAGCACCATACTCACCACAACAGAACGGTGTGGCTGAAAGGAAGAACCGAACTATTCTTGACATGGTTCGGTCAATGCTCAAAAACAAGAAGATGCCGAAGGAGTTTTGGGCGGAAGCTGTGCAGTGTGCTGTGTATGTGGAGAACCGATATCCACATTCGAGTTTAGATGACAAAACACCACAAGAAGCTTGGAGCGGTAAAAAGCCATCAGTGGAACATCTTAGAGTATTTGGTAGTGTGGCCTATGCACACGTACCAGACCAGCTCAGAACTAAGCTCGAGGACAAAAGCAGGAAATATGTTTTTGTGGGATATGATGAAAAAACAAAGGGGTATAAGCTGTTTGACCCCGTCAACGAGAAGGTTGTAGTGAGCCGAGATGTAAGGTTTAATGAAGCAAATGAGTGGGACTGGAGCAATTCATCCGAGGTGAATTTTGAAGGCAGAATCTCAACACAAATTATCAACCCGGCAAGCCCTGAAGTTTCTGATGATGAAGACGAGGTACGACAACCCAGGATGCGGAGCATACAGGACATATATGAGTCAACAAGTGAGGTACATTTTGTTTGTCTTCTTGCAGACTCTGAAAACATAAGTTTTGAAGAAGCCATCCGAGATAAGAAATGGCAAGATGCCAGGGATGAGGAGATAGAAGCCATTGACCGAAATAACACATGGGAGTTAGCCGAGCTACCAAACGGAAGTCGGCCCATTGGAGTGAAGTGGGTGTTCAAGAAGAAGATGAATGCTAAAGGGGAGATAGAACGAAATAAAGCTCGGCTAGTTGCAAAAGGTTATAAACAGAAGGCTGGAATTGACTATGACGAGGTGTTTGCCCCTGTTACAAGGATGGAGACAATTCGGCTACTCATCTCACAGGCTGCTCAATACAGGTGGCCAATACATCAAATGGATGTAAAGTCGGCATTTCTGAATGGTGTTCTTGAAGAAGAAGTCTATGTGGAACAACCGCCGGGCTACATGAAGGCAGGAGAAGAGAAGAAGGTGCTGAGATTGAAGAAAGCACTTTACGGGTTGAAGCAAGCACCACGGGCATGGAATGCTCGTATTGACAAATATTTCAAGGAGAATGGACTTGAACAATGTCCATATGAACACGCTGTTTATGTTAAGAAAAATAGAGGAGACTTGTTAATTGTAGCTCTTTATGTTGACGATCTCATTTTTATGGGAAACAATGCCAAGATGATACAAGAGTTCAAGAGCACAATGACAAGAGAATTCGAAATGACAGATCTTGGTCTGATGAAATATTTTCTTGGTCTGGAAGTCAGACAAGACAACTCGGGTATCTTTGTCTCTCAAGAGGCATATGCAAAGGAGATTCTCAAAAGATTTAAGATGGCAGATTGCAAGCCGGTTTCAACTCCTATGGAACCCGGCTCAAAACTCTCAAAGAATGATGGTGGAGATCTAGTTGATGCAAGCAAATACAGAAGCTTGGTGGGAAGCCTACGCTATCTCACATGCACGAGGCCGGATATCTCGTTGAGTGTCGGCGTAGTAAGTCGGTTCATGGAGGAGCCAAGATACACACATTGGAAGGCGGTAAAGAGAATTTTGAGGTATGTTCAAGGTACAATTTCACACAGGTTACACTACCCGAGTTCAGCAAAACACAAGTTGATTGGATACTCTGACAGTGATTGGTGTGGAGACGTAGATGATCGAAAGAGCACGGCTGGTTATGTGTTTTTCATGGGCAACACGACATTCACTTGGATTTCGAAGAAGCAACCCATTGTAACCTTGTCTACCTGTGAAGCTGAATATGTAGCAGCATCTTGGTGTGTTTGTCATGCAGTATGGCTTAGCAATTTACTAAGCAAGTTGGAGGAAAAACAAGTCGGCCCAACCGAGATTCGAGTTGATAACAAGTCGGCTATAGAGTTAGCCAAGAACCCGGTGAATCATGAGAGAAGCAAGCATATTGACGTCCGATTTCACTTCATCCGGGATCAAGTAAAGGAAGGAAATGTGGAGTTAACACACGTGACCAGTCAAGAGCAAGTCGGGGACATTTTCACAAAGCCACTGCCGACGTTGCTGCTCAACAATTGCAAGAAGATGCTTGGGATGAAAGATGGAAGAAGCATTTAAGTTTATGGAGGAGTGTTATTAGATAAACTTAAATGTACGGTTTTTAGATTAATGGGTCTCTAGAAGTTTTATGTTTAGGAATTAATGTTGGTTAAGTGTTATGGGGGTTTGGTTTTGATATTTGTTAAATGGCTGTAAGTTTTCTACGGTTTATGTTTTATTGCGTTTAATAGCTTTTAATAGGTGCTTAAGTTATTTTTAGCAAGCTACCATATAAGGAGATGTAATCGTCATAGAAAGTACAGAGCAAGAAAAAAGAGTTTGATAATAAAGAAAAACTTTCGTAGATTATTCGTTTGGTTGTCTCTTGCATCTGTGTGTTGATACCTTAACAAATTGCTCCACTTGATGGAACAATATATGTTATATGAACCCATACTGTCATTTTAATGTGACATATATGAAACCATCCAAATCTATTTTTTTGAACGTATACATTTGGGTCACTCTCGTACAGCTTACCTCTCGGCATCGTTGTCCTCATTTAATTTGTCAGTTTCTTCATTCATTCATTCATTTTATCTTCCACCACCGGAAACAATCCTGCTCATTTTATTGAATGAATAAGTTTACCAACTGCCTTTCACCCTTTCCCCAGTGATTCAAATTTCAAACAACTCAATTTCTTAAATTTGTTATATGATGTACATTGATTCCTCATGATGCAAGTTCTTTACCCATGTACAATGAATTGAATTCACACGATTTTTCACAGCTCAAAAAATTGATTTGTTAAGTTTTAAAGAACAAATAAGTTTTTCTTCAATTGACATATAGTGTGGACCAATTTCACTCGAGATATAAAACTCAGTCGTCCATGAATAGCCCAATAGTTAAGACTCAAAGACTAAGGAAACGTGTTCGTATATTATATTTTGCTATTTTAAATTGCTTGAAAATATATCATATATAGATCAGATTTGCAGGCTGTCTGTGTGGCTGTAAATCTGCAATTAACAGACTACTGTACGGAATAACCTGCAAGAGCCACTTCAGCCCACCAATAATGATAAATGCCGCCATACTAAGACGGTATAAGCTAGCAAGGCAGACAACTAATATATATATATATATATATATATATATATATATATATATATATATAACAAAGACTTGAAGCTTAGGTGTGATCATTTAATCCATTTTCACTTAAGTTCATAACTCACATACTGACTTGAGTATTAAAGTATTTTGCAGGCATCTCACATTTGTCCCAGTTAATGAAGACATTCAATAGTAGACTCTATATTAATTGTGGCGTTTAAATCACAATTAACACGTTAATACATTAAAATAACGCCACAATTAACACGTTTAAATCACAATTAATACTTATATAAGCATCTTAGGAGTCATCATCGTACAACACTTACTCCAACGAAAACTCATATAGTCATTGGACCAGATTCAAATGTGTGTGATTTAGCCCAATCCTTATTGGACCGATAAGATTTATGAACACTTCTTAGACATTTATCTTATAATTCAAGTGTTAGTTCAACGCAACAAAGATCCATGGAGAGACATCATTTTGATCGCAATAATAGACGGAAGGAAGGGCTACGTTAAACAATAAGGGGTCTTTGTTTGGGAGCGTGGATTTAATGTGAGGGACAAGGAATGATAGCAATTTATTTTTTTTATATTTTCTTTAGCGCACTTCTTTTATCAGCTAAATTTAAGGTAGCTTTCATTAAATAATTTATATAAAAGTTTATTTAAAAATCAAAAAATATTAAAAAATTATTTCAATATGAATCTCGTCACGAAACTCTTCTTGGTCGAAAATTCAGATCTTGGCTTCAACGAAATAAGAAAGCTTGGATTGGTATATTTAAGAAGGTAATTGGTTTTCTATCTGAATTGAACTGAGGTAGTTTTCCTATTTAGTTTTTGAATAGAACAGTTTGAAAATAAATTTTGAACTAAAAATCAATTCGAAATCAGTTTAGAATTGAACTCGTTTTGAAATTAGTTTTGAACATTTATAACTTACAAATTAATTTTGAAATGTACTTGCTCAATGTTTTCAATCCAAAACTATAATTATGCCATTTTTATTTAAAAGAATCGAATCATATTTATTAGCTAGTAGTTTTTGCATTTTACCATACAATGGTAAAAAAAACATTATGATTTGATATTTAAGCAATTGTATGATTAATTTATAATTTGATATTTAAGCAACTGTATGATTAAATGCTATATATGGGATCAAAATCAAAAAATACACAAAAACAACAAAACTAAAATGAACTGTGACATAGTGTAATATTGTATTATAAATGATTCAGTTCTTCTGAACTATTTCAAATTAGTTCTGAACTGGTGTATAACCAAAAAAATTTAAATCAATTCGGATTCAAGAACTGTTTTACAAAATCAGTTCTCATGAAATAATTTATTGCGATTTTCAATTCAGTTTAGACTTTTTTAATTTATACTTTTTTGCATACCCCCAGTCTTTATCTTCGCTTAGGTTGATAGATAAAACCTACGTTAGATTAATAGAACCTTAGTTTATTTATGGATAGCAAACAGAATCTTAACTCAATTTAAAAATATGAAGAAGAATAAACCTCTTCAAATTTTATAAATAATGTTAGGATAAGATCACCTTTGATCTTATTCTTCAACTAATGAAGACCAAGTCTTTAGGAAGAGTTTGTTAATATCTTGTATCTGTATAGTTTGGTTAAGATAGTTTGTTTGTTCTCCATATAGTATTGTTACGATAGTATTAGTATTGTTACGATAGTTTGTTATCGTTCGTTACGATAGTTTGTTATTGTTTGTTCTCCATATAGTATTGTTACGATAGTATTAGTATTGTTACGATAGTTTGTTATCGTTTGTTTCAGTTTGTTGTCATTTGTATATATAATTGGTTATCTGCCACAAAGCAATACAACACTCATCATTCAATCATTTCATACTTTTCTATATGGTATCAGAGCCACAGTAACGATCCAATTTCCCATGGCTGATTCAGATTCTTCCGCTGCCAATAACAATACTAATACTATCGTAACAATACTATATGGAGAACAAACAAACTATCTTAACCAAACTATACAGATACAAGATATTAACAAACTCTTCCTAAAGACTTGGTCTTCATTAGTTGAAGAATAAGATCAAAGGTGATCTTATCCTAACAAATAAAGAGTAAATACTATTTTGCGTCCTCAACAAAAAATACAAAATCTATTAATCCTTCAAAGAAAAAAAAATCGAGTTGCAATCCATTTGAAATTTAAGTTCTTTGAAATTGAGGTTCATCTGAATTTAACAAAAAAACACATGTTAGCCCATGAAAAATGATTTTTGTTGAAATATGAGTTCTTTGAAATATGAGTATTTTTTTTATGGGTTCTGTATTTTTTTGTTGAAGACCAAAAATAATATTTACTCATATATAAAAATAAGGGAATAAAATTTCTAAAGTTTTAAAAAGTTTGTCCAATATTTACCAAAATCATATAATTCTTAGGTTGAAAGATTAAAAAATAAAATGATCTATTATAATTTTAGAATAAATTAAAATTACATACATACTATGATTTCAATTCCAAAACAATATCAATTTGATAAATATTAGATAAATTTATCTATAATAATTTTAAAAAAACTTTAAAGATAGAGATAGAGATAACCATGGAGATAGATAGACAAATTTATCTAAAATTTGTTTTTAGACTCATTGATATACTATTTCTTAAAAAGACCAATTATAAACTCATTGGAATTTAAAATTCAAAATGAAGATAGAGATAACCATCAAGATAACTATTATAAAGATAAAGACGAAAACTAAGATAAATAGTTAAAAACAAAGATAATTAATTAGAATTAAATCAGCCTACTATTCATTCGTCTAAAATTTACTGATGTGGTGTTAATATTTCTCTTTCGAATCGTAATCAATCATATTCAGTCGCCGACAGCTGCCATATTCCGCCATCAACGGCAGAATCCACGTGTGTTTAAGGTCACGTCCTCTCTTTTCTCTCAGAGTGTTTGTCTTTTACGTTCTCAGTTTCACTGTCCCCTCATTAAAACCAAGTGCCAGTAGCGGTGCTGTTACTTGCTGTTGCTGGTTCTCTCGTTTGCTCTTTCAGTCAGAATCTCAGTCTCAGCAAGAACTTGGAGCAAACCCATTTAATTTTCTGAGGAGTGCCCTCTTCTAAAAATGTTGAATTTCTTAATAAGTAAAGATTTCCGGAAGATTCTCAAGCGCAAAGATAGCGATGCTGGGGAAAGAGGTACTGCAAAGCAAACATTTTTATTTTTTATTTAGAATATTTTGATTTCCAAAGTAGTTAAAGTTTCCTCTCTTTAGCTAAGGGATATAGGATTAGACAATGTAGATCATTCATTTTTCTGCTCATTACTGTCTATTATTATACTGACTTTTGGTCTCGTTGCATTGTTTCCTTCTCTGGCTTTCAATGAGGATTCAATTGCTCTGCCTTATGCTGCTTACTTAATTTGGACATTATATTTCTGAATCTTATGCAAATACTTTACTTATTAGTCATTACTCATTACATTGTTTACAGCAACTCTTATTCTTTGTTGGTGAAGAGTGAATGCATACAAAATGAGTTTGGGACTTCCGAATTTTCTTTCTATGCGTTAAAAAGAGACCAAGGCCAAGACTTTTAAGTTTTACTTATTATTATTTTAGATTAACTTTTGAATATTTTAAGTCTGAACTAAATTATTAGACTGGTGATACTAAATTATAGATTTGACCTATCTGATAGCTTGTTTAAGCCCATCAAGTCTTCAAATCTATCAAGAATTAGAAAAAAAATAACTAAAATAATAATATTTTATTATTTAAAACTATTTAAAATAAATAATGTGATATAGGTTAGCTCGTAGGCTTATAAGCTGGTTGTTGTAAAAGAAAGATTATGTCTTGTTTTATTAATAGGCTATTTTATTAAATATACTAAATTAGGTCTGCCCGTAAGCCCTGATAAGACCCTTACCTATAAAACCTATGTCTCTGTGTCTGTTAGAATAATTTGACAGATCATTTAGATTTAAGTTGAGAAGATGCCATATCTCTCTGTGTATCTTGATTGCAAACATCTCATAGTGCTGTGCAGTTTTGAATCTCCCTTTTTCATGGCTGACGAATCTTTTCAATAAGATTCTTCAAACAAATAAGATGTCTGATGTATAGAGGAAAAATATGCCTGTGCCTATTTAAAAAATAAGGCAGATATTTAAAATTGTTCTAATTATAGAGGCATTAAGCTTATGAGCCATACTATTAAGTTGTCGGAGAGAGTTATTAAACATCGTTTAAGGAGAGAGACCAGGGTCTTTGTAAATCAATTTAGTTTTATGCCACAAAGATATAACATGGAAGCCATTTTCTTGTTGCGACAATTAATGGAAAGATATCGAGAAAAGAATAAGGACTTACATATGGTGTTTACAGATTTGGGGAAGGCATATGATAGGGTTCCAAGAAAAGTTTTATGGTGGGTTCTTGAGAAGAAAAAAGTACCATCAAAGTATGTAGATGCAATCAAAGATATGTATGATGGTGCTATTACATGTGTAAAGCTTGTAATGGAACATCAAGTTATTTTTCTATCACGGTAGGTGTACACCAAGGTTTTGCTCCAAGTCCTTATCTCTTTGCCTTAGTTATGGATGAACAAATAAAAGATATTCAAGAGGAAGTGCCATGATGTATGCTTTTTGCAGATGATATTGTGCGTATTGATGAGACCAAGACTGGTGTTAATAGAAAACTAGAATTGTGGAGAAGCAAGTTGGAGTCTAAAAGATTTACGTTAAGCCGAAGCAAGATTGAATGTATGAAGTGTGAGTTTTCTCTGGTAAGAGATAGATATCAAGATTTCGTGCATCTGCTTGGACTAGAGGTAATCAAGAAAGATGATTTTAGATATCTGAGATCAATTTTGCAAAAAAGTGGAGAGATTGATGAGGATTTAAATCATGAAATCTGAGTAGGGTGGATGAAATGACGTGGTGCAAAATTCCCCTTAGGCTAAAAAAAACAATTCTATAGAACCAGCAGTAAGGCCTGCAATGTTATATGGAGCTGAATGTTGGCCAGCACATAGAAACATGAGCATAAAATGGAAGTAGCGGAAATGAGGATGTTAAGATAGATGTGTGGTTATACGAGGATGGATAAGGTAAGAAATGAAAATATTCGACGATAGGTAAGAGTAGTACCCGTGACTGAAAAGATGAGAGATTATAGATTGAGGTGGTTTGGACACGTAATAAGAAGACCCTTGGATGCTTCCGTAAGAACAAAAGTTTGTTACTAAGAGCCTGATACAAAGACAGATAGAGGTAGACCGAAACTTACTTGGGGGAAGATAGTAAAACAAGACTTAATGGAGTGGGATATAGATTGGTGGACGGTGTGACTTAGTACGGATTTGAGAAAAGCTATAAGCATGGTAGAGGTTTATATCCGTTTTTATTCCTATGTTCCAGATGGTCCCGTTCTAGTCCTTTTCCTCTTTATCTCCCTCTCTTTCTTTCTTTTTTTTTTACTTCGTCCCTTTTATTTCATTTTTCCTTTCAACCTTTTTTCTCTTATTATTTATTTATGTGTTTTTCTTTTTTTCCCTATATTCCTTTTATTTTATTTATTTTATTCCTTACTTTCTTATTCTTTTTGTTCTCCTATATATATATATATATTTAATTTATTTTTTCTGCTTTTTATGAATAATGTTATATATATATATATATATATATATATATATATATATATATATATATATATACTTAAATTTCGTACTTTTCATTTGGGTTCATTTACCACCAATCCCAATGTCTAGTTTGGGATAAAAGTGATGTTGATGTTAATGTTGAGGTTGATTTAGATTTAAGTTGGGAAGATGCCATATATCTATCTCTCTGTGTATCTTGATTGCAAACATCTCATAGTGCTGTGCAGTTTTGAATCTCACTTTTTCAAGTTCCTTCGCACGTGGTTCGTAGTATTCATGAAGTATTTATTTCCCATACCCTTGCAAAGTCTTTTTCAAGAGCCTTTGTGCAGGGGTTTGGTCTTATACTATTTTGGAGAGTTTGTTTATTAAGCCAATTCTTCCAATTTTATAAAGCTACATTTTTAATAGAGCTGGTTTGTTATGAATTCTGGGAGTTGCGTTTGTAATTCTATATGCTTACTATGAACTTTGCAATCTTTATTCAAATTCATTTCTTATTGATCCAACTCTTAATTGTTGAATTGTCCTTGGCAATACTTGATACATAACAATGTCAATCTGAGGCATAGTTCATATTTTGCTTTGGTCTGTATCTCTGCAAGAAACCTTTACTAATATCTTCTGTTACCTTTTACTGCTCATTGCAGCAAGAGCACTGGAAGACTTGAGAGCTTCTCTGTTTAATGAATTCCGTTCCTCTGAAGGTGCAAAACGTCAACAACAGCTTACATGTGGTCCGGCTGCAGCACTTTCCTTCAATTTTCTGGTTGCAGTTGGTATTATTTTCATGAACAAAATGGTTTGTTTACTCTCTTTTCTTTCTATCTAGTTGAGCTCCGTTTTGTGTTAAAATTTCAAAGTACCATGGCTTTAGATGCTCATTTTCTTGGCTTTTTCTTTTTCATTTTTTTTCTTTCAGGTGTTTCAAACTGTTCAATTCAAATTCCCTATTCTTCTCTCTCTGATTCACTATGTAGTGAGCTGGTTATTAATGGCTGTACTAAATGTGTTTTCTTTGCTCCCTGCATCTCCTTCCTCAAAATCGACTCAACTGTCTGCTTTATTTACTCTTGGAATTGTTATGTCTCTATCTACTGGCCTTGCTAATGTTAGCTTGAAGTATAATAGGTAACGCAACTATTCATATTTTTATTTAAATTATTTGTTTTATATTCTAAATTTAAAATCTATTTCTTCAGCATTGGTTTCTATCAGATGGCAAAGATTGCAGTAACACCTTCAATAGTTATGGCAGAATTTGTGTTGTACAGGAAGAAAGTTTCTTGGTCCAAGGCAAGTGTATTCACTTTGGCTATACATGTATATTTGATAGTAATGAATAAGAATGTACTGGGTTTTGTAGAAATAAGAGGTTTATAGTTAACTCATTTGAAATATGTGCACATTTTGTTATATGAACTCCTGTAAGTATCCATACCTTTAAGCCAAAATAACATGCATCAAGTAGCTAATCCCATCCTTTCATTATGAGGCTAAGTGTATGATCAGATTATAGAGCAAGTAAGTCTATTGAACTCCCTCCTGAGTCCTGACACCTCTATTTTTCCTGTATGTTTGCGAAGATAATTGAATGCCTCACAGGTTTAAAGTGATTTCACATGACATAATATTTGCTTTTGAAGACCTATGAATGCAGCTCAAAATTGTAGTTGAATGAAAGGGTCTAATCACTAGGACTATAGTTTTAGTATTTGATATTTTGTCATTCTGTATAATTTATTGATCTTTAACTTCATACCAGTTGAAAAGCATTGTTTGAATTAGTTAGAGCCTGTTTGACACTTCTTCTTTTTAAACCAAAAGCTACTTTTAAGCTAAAGTTAAAAAATAGCTTAAAAAATAAGGTTAAAAGTTGTTTGGCGATTATATGAAATTGTTCTGATGATTTTGTAAGGGGAAGATAAAATAATTTATTATTAAAATGAATTATTAGGGCAAAGGATAATTTATAAATACAAGTTTAGAATAAGGGTACAACTGTAAAATTAATATGAGGAGTCAAAAAAGCTCCTTTAGCTATTTTCTTCGTTATAAAAAAAAGCTCTTTCTATAATAAGAGCTTTTATGAAAACATGTTTGGTTAAGCTTCTGCTTTAAAGGAGAAGAGAAGATAAAAATAAGATATGTCAAACAGTCACTTAGCCTATGCTCATTAGTCATAATCATCTGCGTGTTCTGTATTTCAGAAGTTTCACCTTGTTTTCCCTTGGAATTTGCAATATTGTTTCTAAGTGATGGGCTTCCATCAGTAATATGTCAAATATTGTTTCTCCTTAATTGACTCAAGAATTCAGAATTTTTGTGCTTATATCATTTTAAATTGAAATGCTTACTATAGGAGTTGAAACTTTACAGGCTTTAGCATTAACGGTGGTATCTATTGGTGTTGCCGTGGCTACAGTGACTGATCTGCAGTTCCATGTGTTTGGTTCCTGTGTAGCCTTGGCATGGATTGTGCCAAGTGCTGTAAACAAAATCCTCTGGTCCAGACTGCAGCAGCAAGAAAACTGGACAGCATTGGCGTGAGTAATTTTGTTTATTTATCTTTTGGCCAATTGTAAGTAAATTATTATATCTTCATATTCTGATACCCTGATCTCACGTCCTGATTCCAAGTGCTAATTTGCATCACGAAATTTCTTTCTCCTTTTTGCCTAATTTTGGATTGATCAACAGGTTGATGTGGAAAACAACACCTATAACTTCAATTTTCCTGGCTGCTATGATACCCTGCTTAGACCCTCCAGGTGTGCTTTCCTTTGATTGGAACTTCAGGAACACGTTAGTGATTCTCACATCAGCTATTATTGGATTTTTGCTTCAGTGGTCTGGTGCTTTAGCGCTAGGGTAAGTTACATGCATTACCCTTTTCAATTTTTGAATGATTTTGTCTGTATAAAGAATTCCAATTTCAGTTTCCCATAGAGTGGTATAGGAATCACTTTTTTATTATATTACTATTAGGTTGTTTCAAAAGACATTATCAAATTTAGTGTTGGTTTAAGAATGACCTGACCTCCAACGTGCCAGACATAAAGGGGTCACTCTCAGTTTTCATTTGCTTCCTTTCATGATTGTACTTAATGTTGGGTGTGAAGAATGCAAGTCACGATTGCTATTTCAAAACTTAAATAATTAGTTGTGAATCACTGGTTCACTATCGAAGACGATTAGGCTTTATAAGTTCAGTTGACAGTGTTGGGTCAAGAAGCCTTTGATCGCATTTGATATGATCTTTGTTTCTTCTGTGAATATATTGGTAGTATTTCACTTTCAACGAGGAAGTTAAGTGTCCAAATCATTATTCTTATGAGTTATGGGCTATTTATATTATTTATTTTAAATATTTACCCTTTTTATTTGTGCCATTATCATGTTATGATTAGTATGTTGCTTATATCTCTATTGAGACTTAAATTCAGTTTTGACTAGATATTTTCTTCAAGTCACAAATTGTTCTAAATTCTATGCAACATCAACTATGTCAATGAGCTAAATTACTTAAGTGTTATATTTGAGTGATATGGCAGACAACTAACCATCCTCTTGCAATATATTGGGGATTACTCTTTTAGCCTTTCAAACTTTTCTTGAAACTCTCAATACATGGAGGATTGGTTAGATGCACAAGTAAATAAGCTTGAAAGGCTTTGACAATATTATTGTGTTCTAAAAGTGCTCTAACATAGCATTTACAAAAGCCAAATCATTTATTGAAGCTTATTGTGTTTTTTCGGTTGCTGTTTTCTATATTACATTTAGACCATTGTGGTATACTTAACTGTTACTGGTTAGTTTCCTTATATATTTTTTCTCTTGTAATTTACAGTGCTACATCTGCCATCTCGCATGTTGTTCTTGGGCAGTTTAAGACATGCGTTATCCTCCTTGGAAACTATTATATCTTTGGATCCAATCCTGGCATAATCAGTATCTGTGGGGCACTTACAGCTATTGCTGGTATGTCTGTCTACGCATACCTTAATCTGAAGCAGCAATCAAACAAGATATTTCCTCGACATGCCTCCCCTTTACCAAAATCTAAACTTAGCAAAGAAAATGGCAGTTCCCAAAATGGACATTACGGTGCAGAATCCGTCTAACAAAATTCCTAACACTGCATTACATGAGATGATACGACAGATTAACCAAAGATTTTACCTTTATGTGATTTCTAGATTCTGATCTAACGATTTTGAATGTTAATAATGGTGTGTCAAATATGATATATTATTTAACACGTACTAGGAGGATACATGGTTTCTATTACGCAAGGCAAATGCTGTTCGATTAGGAATCCCATCTGTAAATGAATGATTTGGTGGATTCTTCTCTAGAGTTACAGTTTTCTCTGGCTTTTAGATTAGGAGCTACTGGTGCATTTTCTATTTATAATTTGTATAGCATATGATGCCTTTTTAAATATTTTTTTTATTGGAGAACAAACTACGATGGCATCTTCTATTATTTTCTTTGGTTGTTCAATGAACTTGAGAGCGCCAATTCATGGTGTTTTGTATGGTATATTTCAGTTGAAATGGATCCTCTAAACCTACAATTGCTCTGGAACCTTGGTTTGTTTAGTTTTCGTTGTTTTAGACTACTAAGTGAATACTGAGGTGACGTTAACCATGTTACTAGAGAAATATGGCAAAAATAGTTCCAATATCCAGATAGCCTCCGCTTTTTCTACATGATAAAATGTAAAGCTACTTTAAAAAACCCTTATTTTAGCTGCTGGTAAGTTGGAACTTGTGCATGTATCTGAATCAAATCATGGCATAATCAGTATCTGTGGGGCTCCTTACAGCTATTGCAGCAATCAAACAAGATATTTCCTCAATTCTGAAGCAGCAATCAAACAAGCTATAGCAGCTAAGATCCTGTGCAGTTTTAAAAACTGCAAGAGACCCTTAACCCATTCTTAAAACTATAAAGGATATTGATCTCTTCTTTTACTTACATATCTATTTAGAGCTCAATTGAATTCCCAAATTCAAGATCATTAGTAATTCTTGACTAATTTAATCGAAAGCAGCCATCCAAATTCATTGATGTAGAGAAGGACTCGTAATAACTTATATCTAATGGGATTCTTCAAGAAACAAGTAATGAAACTTTATCCTTTTATGAAACCTATCTTTATTTAATCATTTGAAAACTTAAACCCTTTTGATTTTTGAATTATTGAGTATACAGTAAGGTTTCCACTTTCAATTGCTATGAATACTACGTATATTCATGGCTAGATTTGGTAACTCTGGAGGCGGTGCAATTGGGAGATGAAAATTGCAAAATGAATATGTTGACTACATTCTTATCTATGTAATCTTATCTTGGATATACTGGTACCTTCAGAAATGAGGGTTTGTAGTTGATATTTCCAGTCTTCATGCACAAGCAAGCTCATTGATTCACCACAAGCAGACACATGCAAGCACAGAAACACCCACGTACACCAACAAAGAAACAGAGAGGCGTTCCCAATGTAGGCCAGTGCTCCTGCTGTCAGTGGATGCATTATGTCCACTCTAGTGTTTGCAGAAACTGTTGAACTCTTAGTTTATTGAAGAAATGTCTGAAAGGTACCAAGAACTCAGACAAACTTCATGTGCAGTGCTGCCAATCCCAATCTCTTAGCTTCCAAATAGGAAATAAAAAAGAGACAAGACACCCTTTTGTATTTCCACGTGATCAGTGAGACCAATACAACATGTTAATCTTAATAAATTTATGTACAAACCAATTCTTCTTTTAATCTATCAATTACGGTGCTTGTATGTTTCTTAAATTCTAACGTGGCACACGCACAGGTTGATCCTCATCTTCATGAATTTATTAGGAACCTAAGCACATGACATGTTTCTGATCTAATCTGATTGGTTTGATTAATGTATTTTTTATTTTATTTTCCCCTCTCATAAATTCATCAGTATCTACTTGGGTTTATGGTTTAATCAAATTGTCAGTTGACATGTCTGTAAGAGCTGTCTATCATTTCCAAGAAACTTTCTCTAGTCAACCAGTGAATGTAATGCTCAAATTTAAGCTTGCAGGCTCTTTTTATTAGCTGTCTTTTCCATTTAATGTTAAATAAATCGCCGAATATATGGGTTTGCGTTATATTGACTTGCTTGAGATTCAGTTTACAGGTACCATCAATTTAAATAGCAAATTAACTAATTCATCTTTTTGATACATGTAAAAAAAAAAAATTAATAATCAAATAATGTTAGATATATAATATATAAAAGGGTTTTATAAGAGTTATGTTGTAGGAAAAGTGATTGTGTAATGTTATAGAGATTCGTTTTGCGTGCCTTAATTTTTTATTTATTTTTTTGTTTTAAAAAGTGTGGGCCCCACAAAATGTTGTGAGAGTAGAAAAGTTTGTTGTGTTATGTTAAAGGATAAAATGAAAACCCTATATAAAACTATACGTGTTTATATTATTAAACTTTTCCATGTTTGTACTCACGTACTACCAACTCTTTGGAATGAATAGATGAAATTCTACATGACTTTGATGTTAGCGTTATGAATAAGTATAATTAAAATTGAGTTGAGCGCTTAAATCACCAAAGCTTGATGAGGCATACTATTATTCATTGGATATAATTAGGTGTGACATGAATTGGGTGACTCAGAACAAGACAATTCCTTGAAACTAAAAGAAATGGAACTTTTGGAACATCCCGAACACCTACGCCTACAATAGCTAGGTAACATGAATGAAGAATTTTGCTCCAATTAGAGCCGTTTATCATCTGTAACTCACATGCTAAAGACTGAAGTGTTCAGTATTTATTTATGTTGAACAAGATTCCAAGGAAAGTAACCGAACTATTTTTGAAAATGGCAACCAGTGGAACGATGCACTGAAGCCACCCTACTTTTGGCCTTCTACTCAACATGCATGACTCCAATATGGTCGAAACTTAAAACTAAAGCATTCATATACAAAACAAAAACACAAAAAACAAAAAAAATGGTTTTTCCAATTATTATTATTATTATTCCAAATAAATAATAATAATTGGAAAAACCAATATTACCATGCTAGAAATGGCTTTTATATATTTACCGATTGGCTTACTCTTGTCAATCTATATTAATGCATAGATAGTGCCGTTCTGAATGTGTTCCCTATCTATAAAATATTCTAACGTTTAGGCCCTCTTCGATACAGATAACACTATACTTATCTCTCAAAAAAATATAAAAAAAATCAAAACATAAAAGTAGTGTAAGCCAAGCCTGATATATTATGTGAAGAATAACTTATTGTTAAATCCAATTTATTGCGTGCCATGAGTGTGGTTTTTTTTTAGCTAAAAGCTTAAGTTAATAAGTGAGATTATATTTTTATATTAATATCTTTAATTACATATGTCTTCATATAAGAGCTCTTGGAGTGTGGATAATATATAAACTTATTTTTTTTCATTTTATTTTATACTGATTTTTATCTTCTAATACCATATAATGCATAAATTTCAATCAACAACTTAAGTTGGGAAAAAAGACCATATTGATAATTTTATATTAATATTTCTGACATATCCTTTCTCCATTCAAGCCTCCAATTGAAATTCTTATATTAAATTGATAAGATTTTTTTCTGAGCAGATTTTATCATATGTTATATTAATGAATATTTTAGAAGTCAACATCGTCAAAATTTAAAATGCAAGTTCTCAAAGTGTTTCTTTTCTGTGAGGTTCAAAGGAAACATAAATTTTAAGCTCATTGGGAAGTCCCGAACTTCAATGTAGCAAGTAAAGTAAAGAGCTGGATTTGAAATCCACTGCCCATGAAAGAGTAAAAAAAAACAAGCAATTTGCTACATTGATATTAGTGTTAACAATAATATAATAAAAATATTGATCCCTCAGGCTTTCTCGCGCCTCATAGGTTGTAATCTCTTGCTTTTCTACCTAACTAAAAGATTTTTCCATTAACAAATAGAGAGAATGAAGAGTAACCTGGAAACTTTGAACAAATCTAATACACTATATATAATTTCTCTTTCCTTTTCTAAAATCCAATATCTTGAGCGTGACTTGGATTTACGTAGTGACAGCATCATACTTCTTTTCTATTGCTTTTGCTTCCCAAGATAGATTAGACTCCAAGTAGCACATAGTAGAGTATTGTTATGGGCAATGCAACCAGCATTCCAAATATAACCCTGCACAATTTGTAAAGTCTCTTTTAGAATTTATTTTATATGCCATGAGTCCACACAATGACTTTCATCTAGTGCATTTTATTAAAAGCATATTTACAAAAGACACCTACGCAGTACTGAGTATATCTGCATGAAGATTGTATTCTTTGGCAAACACAAAGGGAACGATACCCTGGGGAAGGGCAGCCTGCAAAAATTAAACGTATTGTCATAAATAACTAAGAACAACGACATTGGACTTTGATTAAATGATAAAGTGGGTTTCATATATATGTCACCTGAACAATTGCAACATGTAAAAGAACTCCACGCATACCAGTGCCTATTGAGGTTGCTGCAATTACAGCTGGACCTGTCAAGAACCTAACAGCCATGGAAAATGCTGCCACAGATTTTCCACAGGCAATGATCTTGGGTTGTAATGCCATGAACAGACCTGCTTAAGAAAGCATTATATTATAAATGGTTCCCATAATAATTAACATAAACTTTTTTAGGACGATGGCAGAATTAAAATGAAAGGAAGGAAAAAAAATTAAAAAATTATAAGGCTCAAGAGAAGTACCTAGACTGAACATGGCCATTCCTAGACCAGCATCAGAAAGTATTGAGATGGAACCTTTCACAATAGACGGCATTTCAATGTTCCACCTGCATGCATGCACACAAGCAAACGATTGATGAAGGGTACTATTAGACAACAAAGACAAGAGAAAAACAGAAGAAAAAAATAGTTTACCAAAAAAAATAAAATGGTGGGATATATACCTATATGATATGAGAGACCATGTGAGTCCTAAGAGACTTGAGTAGGTATTAGGATTTCTTATGAGTTTCCTCCAAACCATGATGAGGATGAGCCTTGTCATGACACTTGTGGGTGGCATTTGTTGTTTTTTGTTTGCATCACCTTCTTCCATGTCCACCTTCTTTTGGCAGGTATATGGAGACCCACTTGTGGGAAATTTTGTTCCTTCCTCAATTTCAAGCTCCCTGTCTCCATTCCCTCTGCGACCAGGACTCATGTTCTCAATCAATTCATGAACAGCTGCATGCAGAATAAGACATTTAAAATTAATGCCAATCCTTCCGTAAGAAAATTAAAGGGCCTAGAAGGTGGGAAAAAAAAAAGAAAAAAAAAAGAAGACTACATTTGGAGCCAGAATTCAATACACCAAAGTCAAGACAAATAGGGTTTGAGTGAGTGGATATATTTATGATGTGTGGTTTTGGGGTCACCTTTTGAGGCAACAGTTTCGTGTGGAACAGCCTTGGAATGATCAATCCCAGAGTCGGTAGAGGAAGCTCTATTAACTGCATGTCTCAGATTACCCTCAGAAACTGGGGATGCGCTTGAACTCCAAACAAACATGTGTAACTCCTTGTTAGGTGCACCACCACTGCTATCTTTCTTTTTTGGGCCAGCACTTGTAGACCCTGAAAACATGGGGTTTGGAGGTGGGTAAGAAGAAACCAAACCACCTCCATTAAACAGCTCACCACTCATGCTCCTCCCTCCCCTTTTCTTATGCATCTTCAGCATCTCCTCTTCAAAATTAGAAGTCCTTGGTGTTGCTCCTTTTGAAGATTGCAGAGAGTAAACATCACCAATACCATTACTCTGGAAACTATTTGTGTACCCGTGTTTTGGACTCGGTGCTTTACTTGCAAACATGGCATAAAAATCTGTTTGATTGAAACTTGAAGCTCTTGGGGTTGGTTCTCTTGATGATTGAACTGAATAGATCTCAACCCCAGTAAGATTTGAAGCTCTAGGTGTCATAGAAGTTAAATGGGACTTGTTGAATGATGATATCATAGAGGAAGCAGCTGATCTCTTAACCACAACATGAAGTTTTCCATCTTCTCCTATCTCTGCATCAGCTTGTAGTGGCTCTCTGCCATTGAGTGAGACAACATCTGAATCAACCCTGAAGGATGTAATGGACCCTGCAGTCTCTGGGAACTGCTCTGTGATGAGGAGCTTAGCACCTCTGTATTCAAACATGAACAGCATAAGAGTGTACCATATGACACTCTGCAAAACCACAATTTGAACCATAAGGCTTCCTGAAAAATCTCCATACATGGCCTTTAACAAAGGGATTCCCATGACAAGTGTGTTTGGGAGAGTGGAAAGTGAGAAGAGGGTGATCGTCCAGTCAAGGCTGCCATGTTTTGTGAAGGTGTTCCACAGAAAAAGAGCACACAAAATGACAACTTTTTGAAGAGAGTCAGCTACTATGAAGTGGTAATTCATAGCATAAGGGTTATTGGATGAGATGAAGTGGAAAGAAAGAAGTGGAACTGCAAATACAGCAACAAATCGGTTTATGCCAGAACACTGATCAGGTGTGAAGATTTTCCACCACCGAACTGAACCATATGCTAATATCATAGCCACATATAAGGGCACAATAGCCGCAAAAACATCATAAATATCCTTACCGGTAATCATGGTTAAAGCACAGCTAGTGCAGTAGGTCAAGGTAGACAAAGAGATAGGGGTATCAGAGAGTTGTGAAAAGGTTGGTAGTGTTTAAGCTGGAAAACAAGGAAACATGACTGAAAAGGGAACTCACGAGAAAGAGGCCAAAGAGATTGAAATCTTTATTATTGGTACTCTCTTATATATAGACATGTATCTTATATTGTTTTTTAATATTAACAAGTAAGAGAGTGCCTCCTAAGTTAAGAAAATAATTTCAAGATTTAAAAAAATAACAAAAAAAAGAAGCTGAAGTGGGTTAAATGTAGACAGAATTAATTGGTTGGGTTTTTCCATGAAGTGTATATGGAATAATTGATTATAAGCCTAACTCGGCGCCATTGTAGTCGTTCATGCACATGTAAGTTAGGCAGTATTCAGTGATCTGCGGTAGCAGCAAAGATCTTTCAGCAAGAATATATTATTTTAACGGTAGTAATGTGAATATTCAGACATAAATGATCTGACTCTTTTATGCATATTGCAAAGACGATAACAGAATTCATCACCCGATGGTGTGAATAGCAGAGTACGAGCATCATCAATATTATATTGATCTGGCCTCGATCAATATTGGCTCATCTATTCTTTTCTTTTTTTCAAAAAAGAAAAAAGGAAAAAGGTCGTCTATGATCTATCATTCAATCTGTTTATTTGTTATAGTTTGATAAACTTGTCTTTGTGTAAGAAATTAAGAATCCATCAGAGCCCGACTAAACATCACTTGAATATTTTGAGTTTTGTTACAACGGATTTCCATTTATAAAACATAACCGTAAAAATGAATTCTATAATATACATGTGTTCAAATTTTAGATTATTAAAACTAAATAGACATTGTCGGCATTGTCATGTATATGTTGCGTGTGAATGTGAATTCGAGTACAAAATAATGACAGTTGATTAATTAATGATATTGGGCCTAATCATACATGATTGAGTCTAGTCTGAGTTGAAGCATGTAACATCCCCGTCTCGAGCCGGTTCAATTAATATATATATATATATATATATATATATATATATATATATATATATTACTAAACAGAAATAGCGGAAGACTTAATTTACGAAAATACGAACTAACTTTTTTTTTTCCTTTAATCCTTTTTCAAATGATATATCGTATTGCATACTTCTTCTAGTTTAATTTTCATTCGATGGAGACAAAAATCGGACAGAGTAACGTCTGTAAATCGGACAAACGAGAATTTGCGAATCTCACTCTCAAGGTATCCTGATAGACATATCATCTTAAACATATTATATAACCATATATGGTCCAACAATAGATCTAATACCCATCCATGGGTGCATGCATAACTGGCTCTGTGCCACTACGTCTAACAGCATACAAATTTCAACACATGCACATATCTGAATACACAAATGTAAATGCATCAAATATGAAAACATGTACAAAACATATACGGAACATATACTGTATAATGGATCAAACATCATGATCCCAAAATGAATAGAACACTATGCAACAGTACATATTCTCCAAAAATAACATCTATAATAAATAGTAGCCTCCGGCCACCCAAAACTCTATATCCTCATACTAGTACCTCTAGCCACAGGTAGTGTCCTTGTCCCGTGAGGGCTCTTCAATTAAATGTGTTCCTGAAATCATATCCCCAAACGGGGTTAGAGACGAATCTCTAGTAAACTCCAGGTTTATGGAAAACTCTCCATACCATGGGCTCACTTCATGCATAACAGTTAGATACATAATATACAAAACATCATATAAGCAATTACCATAACTGAACAAGCATATACACATATCTTATCAAAGATGCACGCAGTATTTTCCAAGGGAGGACCCCAAGCGGAAATCAACGCACGTAACAAATATCATAACTAAACTGAGCATATATACATATCTTATCAGAGATGCACGTAGTATTTCCCAAGGAAGGACCCCAGGCGAAAATCAACGCACATAACAAATATCATAACTAAAACATTACAACAATCACTTCAGACAAAACATATCATATCAGAGACGTATGTAGTCATTCCCAAGGGATGGCCCCAAGCGGAAATCAACGTACGTGTTCCCAAGGAAGTACCACAAGCAGAACCAAAAACATATCAGATATGTACACAGTCAGTCTCGAGGGATGACTCTAAGCAGACATCAGTGCACATAGGATCAATGGCCAAAGATCATCACATAACAGAGGTGTACACAATCAATCCCAAGGGAGGACCCTAAGTGGAAATCAGTGAACATGTTCCCAAAGGAGGACCCCAAGCAGAACGCAACATATAACAGATATATACACAGTCAGTCCCAAGGGAGGACCCCAAGTGGACATTAGTGCATAAACAAATCAATAGCCAGAGATCATTACAGAAATCACATCAAAACATATCAAAGTAAACACATCAAATCATATCATATCACGTCATCATATAGCTCTATATGAATGCATCTATATCATATATCTCATACATATCATCCAACATGACCACAGTCCGTACACTATGGCGAAACACAAAGTAGGAGCGAACCCCATAAACATAGAGCTTACCTCTCAAAGCTGTATAGATGGCCTACTCGACAACGAGTTACCAAGCCTCCTCTAATGTAGGATCCTCGACAAGATTCTTAGGCGAACCTAGAATAGGAAATCCACACAAATATCAATAAAATGGTTCAAAGCCAAGTAGTTAACTAGACATACCATTTATTGATTTCATATTTTACTTATCAAATTAATTTTTTTCACTATTCGTACATACGGTACTATTCATGTATACGGTATTATTCAAAAATACGGTATCTTTAATTTTTCAGAATACATTTTCACCGTTAAAATCCTCATCTAAACACTTTTCTCAACGTGATAAGCCTGAATCAAGCTCTAACATGCTCAATCAAACCAAACTTTTAAAATGGAAACTTAAATTCAATCTTCCTCAAAACTCAAAGAAAATTAGGATTTCTTAACATAAACTTACCTAGAACGAAGGGGAAAGCTTACTTCAATCTCCCATGGCTTAAAGCTCCATCAAAATTCTCATTTTTCATGAAATTCGAAATCTTAGAAGAAGAAGATCTCTCTCTATAGTGAATCTTACCCAGAAATACTGGTACCAATGGATTTTTCTCGAAATTTCTCACAAGTTTGGCTTTGGGACGGAGTGATTTGAAGGTCTCTAGCTCAAGTTATGAATTTCGGAAGATTAAAAACCAAAATCTCCATTTTCCAATTCTTTCTTCTCTCTCGCTCGCTGTGGGATGAAGACGGAGACATATACAAAATAGTGACTCACTTATTCACTTAAGTGAGTTCACTATACCAGCGGGTATAAGCTATGAAGCACCGACACTTCAAAAACTCTGACGTGTCGTGTCGGACACTCCGACACTCCAACACGCGTTATAGAAATTCAAAAAAAGGTTCAAATGTTACGTTGCGTTGAGTTTTGAGTTCCAACTATTACATTCGTTGGATTACGATTACCATTTTATTGAGTTTAATATAAATATTTGGGATATCTTATAAGTTTAGATTCATTTTTTTGTTAACTTATTGAATATTAAATATAATACATACTACATAAATTAAAAATATTATTTAATATCAAAACGTGTCCTAACGTGTCAAAATCTAACATTTTTTAGAGTTAACGTGTCGGAGTGTCGTGTCGTATCGTGTGAAACAGTGACCATTTTGCCACGTTTGGACAAGAAAATTACCAGACTGCCACGCCAACAGTAAATTTTGTCAAACTGCCACGCGGCATAATTCGCTACACAGTGTAGCAAATTATGCATGCAAGTAATTCGCTACACTGTGTAGCGAAATATGCCACGTCAGAACCAAAAAGTGCCATGTGTCAAAATTGTTGAAATTCGCTACCCTATATAGCGAATTTCAACAATTCTGACACATGGCACTTTTTGGTTCTGTGCATTCTGCCATGTGTCACAATTGTTGAAATTCGCTACCCTATGTAGCGAATTTCAACAATTGTGACACATGGCACTTGTTGGTTCTGACGTGGCATATTTCGTTACACTGTGTAGCGAATTGTGCCGCGTGACAGTTTGGAAAATTTTACTGTTCGCGTGACGTTCTGGTAATTTTTTTGCCAAAGCGTGGCATTTTGGTCACTGTCCCGTATCGTGTCCTGTGTCAGTATCGATGTTACATAGGGTATAAGTTTATATATATACTCACCTCCATTTATTACCAAACTTTATCCAATGGACTAGAATATTTTTCTAGTCATATTTTTAACTTTACTTACACTTTTCGGTTAACTTTGTTTACCCGCATTTTTACCCCTTAACTATCATTTTAACTCCTTTTTCACCAAAGGTGACTTTATTTCTTTTACTTCTAATTATTCTTCAATATTAAATCTACAACTACTAGTGAGGGTATTATAAAGCACAAGTTAAATGTTCTCGGGATCATTGGCTTTCAATCGGGATGATGTCACATGATGATTTCTAGATGTCGCAAGTTGATGATTTGACTAAAATAACAGCGGATGGACACTATATACCAGTAGTGGACCCAAAAATTTTATTTATGTCTGCACATTTAGTAGTGTTGAATTATTTTTCTTAAACTATTTTAAATGCATTAAAAAACAAAAAAAAAATATAAACAATAAAAGAAAAAAAAACTTCAACTTAACATAAAATAATAATAATCAAGAGTCAACTAAGCTATCATATTTTCAAGCAATGATTATTTGTTAAGATTTTTATTTGTATAGCGATGCAAAATAATCTTGTCCTATTTTTTATTATTATTTTAATATTAAATATAATTATATATCACAAGTGAGGGTAAAAATTTTTACATTATGAGTTGTACAACATTTCATAAAAACTCCATTAAGTTACAATATTTTTGATTGTAAAGCCAACTTTACACCTAAAAAGTGCATGGCAGAGATTTCCAACAGCACAATAGCCAACTTTTCCATGTGTCCTT